CGTTTGGGGGTCATAGCTGGCTCTATAGGCAAAAGAAGAAATGCAAATCCTAGGTGTTTGTCTGAGCTAATTTTGTCTATCTTTTCTTTCCTCCTTATCTGAGTTTCTGTCTTGACCAAGTCTTTCTGAATGGATTACCAAATCTGAATTTCTAAAAGCTGGCCTCCTCAGTCTCTGCTTGGGGCAGGGAAACTGGGGCTGGTTTCTGCCTCTTTTAAGAATTTTTTTCATTTCTTCTTTAGGGAAAATATAATAGTCTGCCTTTTTTAAATATTTCCCAAACATTTCATTCTTCTGGGGGGGGAGGGCTTTCCACACCACCTTGAGTTATTTGTAAAAATAATAAAGGCAGGATACAAATAAATAAAATATACGATTATAGAAATATAACACAGAGACATAATAAAATGCATGCTATTTCTATAATCATAAGAAATCTATCAAATCTTGAACCCAGAACTTAATTTTTACCTTTCTCAAACAAGAAGTCCAAAGTGGTCCTCATGGAGAAACAAAACAATTGCATGCAAATAACAAACTATACTATAGTCAGATCATCACCAAGCATAGACTGCAATCTCTTTCAAATAGAGCAGGACAGGATGAACCACCAGAGGGCAGAGTAAGTCCATCAATAGTCCAACATGAGTTACGTTAGAAAAAAAAGAAATACTATACATTCTTCTCACAAATGTTGAAAGAGGCTATATATGACCAAATCATTTTTGTTAATGTGATCCAAAATCATCCCATTTATTACTTTTAAATGTTTATATTCTGCATTCTCGGCGTTTATATTGTTGTACTCACTGATGTACAGAATGGAGAGGGATGAAGGAATCATAACAACTTATAACGATCTTGTGGTTTTCACAAGGACATCTCCCACTATTGTTGGTGTCCATCTTCTTTCTTTGCATGTTTCTTTTTTTATCCTATAAGCCAGTGGTCCCCAGCCTTTCTGGCATCAAAGACCAGTTTTGTGGAAGACAAATTTTCCACGGAGGGGAAGAGGAGGGAGAGGAGAAGCATGGAACTTAGATCTCTTTCATGCAAAATTTCGCTTATCCACGACTCACCTCCATCTGTGAGGCCTGGTTCCTAACAGGCCACAAACTGATACCAGTCCATCAGTGGTGAGTTTCAAAAATTGTTCGAACCTACTCTGTGGGTATGGCCTCCTTTGTGGGAGTGGCTTGCCACCCATGTGACCGGATGGGAGTGGCTTGCCGCCCNAGTAACCCCTCCCAAATACCATGCCCACCCTCCCCGTTTCATGGCAGCTGAAGCGATAGCAAAGCAGAAGCTGACATCGTCCTTTGCCAATTACCACCAACGACCCAGCCCAGGCCTCCTCTATTCTACTCATCAATGATTGGCAGCTTCCCATTACAGCTGCCAATGTGGCGTGAGCCACACGGAAAGATAAGGTGTTGTCCAGGGTGTTGGATTGGGTTCAATGAGGGTGGCCAGTGGGGAATTTGGTCTCAGAGTTCCGTCCCTATCTATTCCGAAAAAACGAATTGTTTTTGCAAAAGGGGTGTTTGTTATGGGGTAGCCAGGTGGTGATCCCAGAACCATTGTGCCCCTTGGTACTATCTACCCTGCACAAGGGGCACAATGGTTCTCTAAATGGGTCGAAGTGTCAGTAATGTCATCTACAAATGTGCAGTCTGTCATAGCAGCTCTTAGGTGATTATTTGCCACACATGGGATACCTGATGTAGTGGTATCTGATAATGGCACACAGCTAAGGGCTGAGCAGTTTGCTGAGTTTCTAGTGGAATTAGGAATCCGCCATGCATTTGTAGCCCCATTCAACCCCGCAGCCAATGGTATGGCCGAGTGAGCTTTCTACACCACTAAAGAGGCCCTGGATAAGTTGGAAGGGGGAGATTGGCAGGAGAAGCTATATAAATATCTCCTCTGGCAACATGCTACCCCATGCCCAACAACAAACCTAAGTCCAGTGGAGTTATTAATGGGCCGGAGGATTAGAATGACCCTGGACTGTTTGCATCCTGAGTATGCCCCTGAGAAGCCTCCTGGGTCCTATAGACAGCCTAGGGGGGTTGGGTTAGAGCACTGGTTCCCAAACTTTTTCAGTCCACCCCCCTTGGTGCTACAAACTGATCCTCAGTGCCCCCCACCCAGTTGTGGAATTCAATTTTTTTTACTACTGGTTCTGTGGGCTTGGCTTTGTGGATGTGGCTGGGGGTCATGTGACTGGGCAGTTTGCACAATAGAAGGAAGATAGTAGTAGTAAAATTCAAAACTGTAACAATTAATTGCACATTAATTAAAAATCCAATTTAAAAAC